CTGAGCTCCTCTCTGCTTGGCCCTTTCTATCAACAACTTGCATCTGGATTGATGATACAGCCCAAGAGAAGAGGCAGGTGGGCAAAGCTGTGGCTCCAGTGTCAGCAACCTTAGTTCTGATGTAAACAGCAAGCGTCTTTTCTCTTAGAGCAGTAGCCTACTTGTACTTCCATATAATTACAGTATTCCTGACAGTAGCCTTCACTCCTCCTGCAGTTGACAATTTTGAAATCTGGTTCAGGTTCTGTATAAAGAAATATCCAACATTAGCCTCTTAAGGTCATCTCCAGAATCAAACAGTGGTCAGTTTACCTGAAGGGATATGGTGGGCGATGCCAATGGATAGGAAACAGGTTTCTTTTGTATGTGATCTCTAATGTTTCCATGCAACCATCTTATGGTATAAAAATCAGACCCGTGATTTTGACTTAAAGGTCACTTCCCTTTCCCTGAGAAATGAACTCTTAATTTAGAGACAATTAGGAAATGAAATGGTGATGGATGCGTCATGATACAAATTTTTCACTTAAAGTAATTTGGAACATTGTGTAAGGGGACAGATAAGTACTCTCTAAGATAAACTGGGAAGTGATATGTCTCCAACAAATGTGTACTGAAGTGCAGTGGTCCTCTGAGGTGGTGGATTGAGCCATTGCTGGAGAGTAGTTAAGATCTCTAGGGCAGGTCATATGAAAAAGGGTAGCAGAGGGTAGAGTTCTAAAGAGTTAAAATTATTTATTTTTCCCCTTCATTATGAGGGAGTGCCTGGAAGACGATTTGGGTCTTAACATGTGCCAAGTTATTTGAGTAATGTGAAATTGTTTCTCTCTCTAGAGTTCAAGAGAGGAAATTGTTAAACATTAATTATTCTCCTAAATCATTTCTTATGATAACAATTGATAGAAAATGGAAAGGGGCAAGCATTAAAAAAAGAAAAAAAAGAAAAACACAATGCAAGCAGAGACATGATATCAGAGAATTAGTGATAACTGTCTGGCTGAGGAAGACTTCTGATAGAACACCATGCCAAGGATGCTCTGATTATCATAGGCTTTGTCACTGACTTGAGATTTATCTTCAGACAAGTTAAATGAGAAAACACATGGCCTTCTTCCTAATATTTTTTCACCCAAAATTATTTTCTTATCTCTGCATCTCTGACCAATAGTCTTGACCTTTTAATATACAGAAGACAGAGCATATTTAATGTATACAGTTTGATTATATACCCCCATGATATGCATACTACCATGATACTATCACCACAATCAAGGTAATAAACATATCTATCACCTCCAAAAATTTCCTTTCATCTCTTTGTTTTTTTTCTGTTTCATTTTGTTTTTGCTTTTCTTATGGTGAGAATACTTAACATAAGATCTACTCTCTTAACAAATTTTTAAATGCACAATACCACATTGTTAACTATAGGCACCATATCTTACAGCAGACCTCTAGAATTTATTAATGTAGCAGAACTGAAACTGTATACTTATTGAACAACAACTCCGCATTTATTTCCCCCACCACTTATCCCCTAGAAACACCATTCTATTTTCTACCCCTATACCTTTGATTATTTTAGAAATCTCATATGATTCAGAGTTTCATGTTAAAATCTATAAAATCAACTCCATATGTATAGCTCTGCTTCTTCCAAGAGAGTGATTCTTTATTCAGGCCTATTAGCTGTCTAGTTAAATCCCCAACATGATGCAGGAATTATTTCCTCTATGCCATCTCTGGCAGATGAACCCAAAATCATCTAAACACTGTTAATAACTTTCACATTTTTCTAGTCATCCTGTGCCAAAGTTGTAAAACAATCATTGTTAAGAATCCTTTTTTTGTTAGTATTCAAAACTTCTTTATAAACTGTCTGGTTTTGCTTAGTCTTCCTGCTTGTTGACTAAGGAATGGCTCTTAAGTGTTTTAAGGGAGTTATGTGTCCCCCTAAGTATTCCTGTCTCATGATTACATATTTCACTTGTTTTAAAGTTATTTTAACATAGATTTTCATAATTTTCTGGTTTCCTATCTAGGCCTCTTCCAATGGGAAACAGAAATGAACATATACTTTCCACCAACAAAAGGAGACCATTCTTATTGCAGCTACACACAGTCCAAACCAGGATTTTCCCTCGAGCCCCTGTCAATCTGCATCTCTAGCCACTAAACTTAATTCTAAACAATTAATAAAATTGGTACCATGAATTGAAATGAGAGGGGGTTATATTATAGGCTCTAGAGGAAAATAATTCTGAATTCAAACAGTTTTTCTGCTATTTAGGTGGTGTGTGATTTAGAGAAGGCTGTTCTTCAAGGATCTGTGCACTCCTTGATCGTCAAGTAGAGATGATAAAACCCATGCTCTACATTTGTATGATGTCTAGCAAAGTACCTGCACACAGTAGGTGTTTATTATATGCCAATAATTATTGTAACAATTAAATTGGTTGGGACATACTTGGGTCTTAGAAGTCTCTGTCCCTAGAATCTTCTAGCAAGTCAGTAAGAACAATAAAAAGAAAGACTGTAGAGTCTTTGGAGACCATTTGGCTGGCCTAGCTTTTAACTAGCTCTCTCATCACCTGGAGAAAGTCCATGAGCCTTCTTTATTTACTCATCTGCAAAGTGGGGATATTAATAGTATTTACCTCCCAAGGCTATTGTGAAGATTAAATGAATTTATGGCAAACATTTAGAACAGACAAGCACAAAGTGAGCTGTGTATAAATATTATTATTATTATTATTATTATCATTATTACTTGTGATAATGTCTTAGTCATATGGATTGGCACAGTAACTCATAAGACATAATGATCTAATGTTATGAATTTCATGTTGCGATAAAGACAATAAAGTTCATAAAAAAATATTGTCCATTGCACAATTTTCTCATTAAGCAAAACCAATTTATCTGATCATTCACTCAAGACATCATTATTGAGGACCTATAATATGTTAAGTCTTGTTCTAGATTTCTGACTTTGCACAGTGAACATAGCAGTTGACCCCTGCTCTCTTGGACCTTATTCTCTGCTGAGGTTTACATTTCCCACAAGCTTTCATGCTGATGTAGAGACTCAGGCAGAGCGTGAAGGAAACACAGAAATTGTGTGGTCCAGAATGTCCAGCAGGTGGGTCACAATCAATGGACCATCTTGAGAACATTCAAGGTCAATCTCCAAGGCAATTGTCTCTGTGTCATGCCTCTCTTTATGGCTCACATGCCTTCTCCCTTCCCTGTGCTTGGTGATTTTGCCAACAGCATCCTCCTGTAGCACCAGCCTTGGTTCCTCCACCTTTTCCCTCCTGCAGCTCCAGGAAACATCCCTGTTAACTAACCACCCCCCACACACACCCATACATACATACTTACAAAGATATGTGAATGAGAACAATTCTATCACTCTTCTTTTTCCTTTGTACGAGCTAACCCTTATGTTGTAAAGACACAATGACAGAGCCCCAGGAAGCTCACACAACTTCCCTGAAGTTCACTGCTCAGTGCTGCTGCAGGCAGGGCATGGAATGTGGTCAACAACAGGCTGTGTTCCTTGAAATTTATACTCTTCTTCCCTTGCCTGGATTACTGAGCTTTCTGACACCTCTTAGCCTTATAATAGAGGAGGGAGGACGATGAGTACGGAGAGCAGAGTTTCTTATTGATTTGTTCTGTTATAAGCTGACTTTGTGTTTTGGAGTCAGCTGGCAGGAGAACGCAGCTCCACTCCAGCTCATGGCATACTCCTTCCTAAGCCACTCGTTTTCTGGTGACATCTAAAGCAAGTTGTCACTGGTGTCTCATGGCCTCAACAGTGTCCCTCTTCAACAAGACCAAAAGGACTCCTGTGTGAGACTGAAATCTGGACCACAGAAAGTACACGGTCTCCCCACCCCAAATCCCTAGGAATGCAGGCCCATTCCAAAGCAGCAACAGCACATCCTTTGCATCTCCTATTTAGGAAGACCCAGGTTTAAGTCTTGACTCTGTCATTTACTAGCTGCATGATCTTGGACAAATTATTTCACATCTCCTCAGTCCCCTCAGTAACCAAATGGGAATAACAATCCTGTCTCATAGATTTGCTGTTAGACTAAATGACATTGCCTCATATTGTTTGTATTTGTTGCACTGTCACTGAATTTTCTTTTTCCCTTCCTTTGGGAGGAGAACAAAACTGATGAATCCCTTGGATCCAAGGGTCACTTCCAAAGGGATGGAAAAGAGGCTAGGATAATGCAGGGATTATAGTCGTCAGGACTTTAATTTCTAGCTATCCTTGGCCAACACTCTCTTGTCCTCCTTGTTCTTGCCTACACAGCTTCTAGCCTCATTTTCCGTGTTTAGGGTCAGGAATGAGTTTGGGAGTAAGGACAGCTTGGAAAGTACTGTCTCCTCTGGGTCCTTATGGATTTGAAGCTGGCCTGGAGAGGGGTTTAGGACTGACCAGAGAAGTGGCCTTGGGCTCTTTGTTCTTCATCCTTCCCTATATTCCTCCTCATCCCAGTAGCCTGACATCACTGTCCCTCCTCTGCCACCCCACCCCGGAAGGCACTCCCTGAGCCTTGATTGGTCACCTGGCGTATAGCAAGTATTTAGCAAATTCCTGTAGACTGAATGAACTCCAAGGCCAAGGGAGTAGGGTTCAATCTGGCAGGAGAGGATGTCTTACTCAGTATCATCTCCTATTGGTATTGGGTTTGTGTGAAGTCAGAGATGTGGCCTCACATACTTTTGCCTCTCAGCCTCCCAATGTTCTCACATTTCACAAGACCTTCAGTAATCCAGTTTCAGAGGAGACTGTAAGACCCCCTATGACCTTTCTGACAGGTAGGGCAGCCTAAGCCATCCACATAGCATCTTCTGGAAACACAGCCTGTCCTCACTGTTGATCACTGCTCCAGCCCCCACCCCACAGAGTCACCTTCCAATCTATTCATTCACTAAGGATTTCTGGGGTGGATGAACTTGACATGCATTTTTTTACTTACCCTCGAAAGGGGGAGTGCGAGGTAAGAGGTAGCGTTTTACTTGGTGGTGTAACAAGTGAGACTCATTTGTTCCTTGTCCATGAGACTCTTCCTTAGGTTCTCTGGGACCTTCAGTGCCTTGCTGGTTAATATATCTGGCTCTGGATAATCCTGGTTAAGAGTAAATAAGCAGCAGAGAATTTTTAGAGCTCTCCGTTCAGCTAAACCATGAGGATTTGGTACATGTGGTCTAAGGAGTGTGTCAATGTGGAGGAGGGAGGGGTGTCGAGAGCTGTCGCTCAGTTGGTGTGAAGTTTCACTCATGTAAGATGGACATGTTCCAGGGACCTGCTGTACAGCGCAGGGCCTGCAGTTAACAATACAGTGTTGTGAACTTCAATATTTGTTAAGAGGGGAGATCTCATGTTGTGTTCTTACCACAAAAACCAAAGAGCCACAAGGACACTTGGGAGGTGTTAGAGACATCTGTTCTCTCAGCTGTGGTGATGGTACCACACGTGTCCACATGTGTCCAAGTTCATCAAATTGTACACATTAAGTACATGTAGTTCTTTGTATAACAATTATACCTCATTAAAGCTGTGAAAAAAGAGGAAGTGGATCATGGGATGGAGTGGGTTGGAAGGAAGGCGAATGTTGTTTGTATTTGTGCATGTGTGTGTGTGTGAGAGAGAGAGAGACAGAGAGAGAGACAAAGAGGTGAATGACATGTGAAAGGATTGTGGAGCCTGAGTACCTCGTGGAAGCCATGCTGAACATTCTCCTAGGGAGTCACCAAAATAGTTGTTGAGCTCTCCCCCAGTGTCCTTCCTGACACAGACTGGCCTTCTCTGTAAGGGGAAGGGGAGTGTTAAAAGGATAAGAAAGTGGAGTTTAGGGAAGGACCTTCTCTCCTGGGAAACTATGCCATCAGCATGTTCAAAGAATCATTTGCAAACCCAGCTAGAGACTCCTGCCTAAACCCCACCAGGAAATGGGCTCCCAGGGCCCAGTATCTCACTGCCCAGCCGGGACTCCCATCCCAGAAGTGACCATTGGAGAGACCCTGACCCCAGGCACAGTTCACATTTTTGATTTACCTGGAAACAGCAGGGCCAGGAGGAGAAGTATGAATGGAGTGAGGAATCGCTTCATGTCTCTGAGGTGACTGCAAGCTGGGAAGGTTGAGGTGGGCAGGGAGCAGGGCCTCCTTTATAGTGTTGAACAGGGGAGTGGGCCTGGGGCCCAGGAAGAGCTGCGTTCCAGAATAATTTCTCAGTCACAAAGGACACACGTAGGTGCATTATATTCCCACCGTTAACAGAACAAACATTGAGCCATTTTTCTCGGGAAGTAAATGATATGCCTGAATGCTTTGGGTGGGTTTGGTGAATAAGAAAGAACAGAGAAAGATAGAAATAGCAGATAGTGGAAAGAGAGAGGCAAAACAAGTATGTAATTAAAATAAAATCAATTTCCTCAAGTGCTTCACATTAAAGCACTGTTATTTGTTCAATGGTGACATAAATACAGTTGTCATATGGCTTCTATTCTGTCTTCTGAACATGTTTATTTTAGTGTAAAAAATCATGCAGAAAAATAAAACATTTCAGGTCTGACCTGATTTTCAAAACTGTCATTCCCAAAATTATGTAGGTAGTTCCAAAGCCATTTCACATTCTCAACCCTGTTCTTTCTCCCCTGAGTCTCTCCCCCTCCCTGGCCTCCTCCACCACTCCACTAGCTCCTTTTACACTCTGCCTTTCAATTTTCATTTATCTCACTCTCTTCATTTCTTTCTCTCCTTTCCATGCTCTTTTCCCTAGATGCCTGAGTATTGATGCCATTGGGTCCAATAAAACTCTGCTTTAAAAAGTTTTTTAGTTGAGTCTGGGTTTTCTCTTCTAGTAATAACTAAGCCAAAGACTCTTTCTTCCCTGCTCCTTCCCCTTCTTCTCAGCAGGCATGAAGTTTTGTTTTGCTGCATTGTCCCAGGAATGCACAGCCCAAGCAGCCTGCTCTGGACTCAACGGGAGAAGTGTAGGCTCTGGTTCAAGATGTTATAACTATCTGACATCCAATATGACATCAGTGATGCTGGAAAGGGTAGTGTTTATCCCATTGGTCTCATTTGCATGTGCATTTTGGTCCAGACAGAGAAAATGTCTTAGATCATTTGTGTAAATGAAAGTACTTATACTCTACCTGGAGAAAGGTGAGAGTGGCTGGAGAAAGAGGCAGAAACCACAGCAGAGACTCGAACACCCAGGGAAGCAACAATGAGGTAGAGAAGGTTCGGAGCTATGAACAGATGTACACAGAGGTATCCCAGCATCATGAACATGCAGCAACCATTACTCTAGGTCTCAGGACAAATTCAATATTAGGGAGCATGGAGGTGCTAGTCAGAGATAGACTAAGATCATTCATATCCTTCTATTTTTAGGTACTAGGAAATCCTCCAGTCTGAAGAGGACATTGAGGACACTGGTGGAGATGGGAGGCAACTGGAACTTGATGAGGGCTGTTAATCACCACGGCCACCAGATTCTGACAAAAGCAGAAGTTCAAGAAGCTAGGTGGAGAGCTGCTGTAACCTCAACTGTCAGTGAAGTTTTCTCTTATCCCCTCCCCTACACACTATTTTTTTCTTTTATACTCTAGTCAAGAAGCTCTTTCTTACAGTTGTGTTTATATATATTTAAGTGTAGAATTCGGACCTTTATAAAAATGACACAAGCTTTAGAGGATGTAGGCTACTTATTCCTACAGATCTTTATCTTCTCCATAAAAAGGGAAAAAAGGAAAGCCTATATTAATATTCAGACATTAATAGTGATGAATCATGAATAAAAATGTAACAGTATTTGATAACTAACACTCAGCTAAAGAATTGTTCTAATTCATTAAAATCATTTGATCTAATTAGATGAAGACATTGATCTAAGCACAGTCATGTCTCACTTTCTCTGTCCAGATCTTAAGATAAAATAAGCCTTCTCAATACTTCTGAAAGAAAAACTTTGAAAAGGAGAGACCAACAAAATGCTAGTCCTCCTTTTTGACAGACAAAGGGAAGTGAAGTCGTTGTAAAGGCAGCTGGTGTGGCATCTGTCCTAACAGCACAATGTCCTGAACTCCAGTTCTCTTCCCAGCATTCTATGTTCTAGAAAAATCATCAAACAACTGGCCTTTTGAAAGCCACAGACACCCTGAGGGGAGGATAGAACCCATTCAAGAATATTGCAATCAGTGGTTCTAACTCTTCCTTCAATTTTTATTTTGTCCATGAAACTGAGCTGCTTAGTATGTGAGATCTTGATTTATTTGAATCAAGGGTGGGGTAAAGTAAAATGATAGAGGCAGCATTGCTGAAGATGTTCTACATTGCATATCCTTGCATATCGCACAGTCATATCTTCCAGGACTTAATGGGATGCCTCTTGAGAGGCAAGAAAGAGGATGTGCCATTGCTGGAAATCCCACCCCTGCATGTTTCCTTTCTCCAAGAAAGACCTGGGTGGCAGATCTGCTCACCCTGATGTTTGCTCCATTGATCTTTCAACTTCAAATAATACAAATGTATAAATTATGAAGTGAAAAATGTCTAAACTCGATTCTTCTATACATTGATTTTCATTAGGCTGATTTCAAACAATTATTGGTCTTCCAAACTGAACTGTAGCCTACAGATCTGTATCCATCCTTCAGAGAAAGAAGAAAAGTAGCGATGTCATTGAGTTTCTGAATGTGTATGCAGCGTGTCAAATAATTCTTGTTAATGCTAGAAACAATAAAATAGAACAATCTACCTTTGTTCTTTTGCTATTAAGCCATGAAATTAAAATAGTGTGACTTTGTAATTCTTTTAAGTGTCGAGAGCAGCGGTTCATTAATCTGACCATGAATTATACCTCGGAGGTGCTTTTTCAGAGTCCAGCCCCTTTAGAAATTGAAAGGATTGGACATTACGACAACAAGCAAAGAAAAATTCCTGGGGTTCCTCAGGGCAAACCAGGATGTAAGGCCACTGTGATTTTACCTGGTGATGAGATGTTTTTTCTCTCTGCTTGTTTTTGCCACACTGACCATTATCATTGGTGGTGGTAATTGAAGTTTGGGAAAGTCTGTTGCTTTTTTATATTCTCATTTTGGGAAGTACAACATGGCCTTTCTCTTGGCAAAACATCAAATTGAAAATAAGAAAGGAGACAAAAAAATAATCATTGCAGACTAAGGGCAAAAGTTGGCACTGTGCTAGTAAGTGTTGTTTGAACAGTCATGTTGCAGATGGGAAATCAAGGTAGAAACCTTCCCGAGGTTATCCGTTGAGTGAGAGACCTGGGATCCGAGCACACCATGCTGTGGTGCTCAGATGTGTGCTGGGATGTGGGGTCTGTGCCTCGCGCTGCCTAATACTCTGACCGACTTTAGGAAAGTCACCCTGAGCCTTAGTTTCCACACCTAAATAGTCAGTAAGATGTGACTTGACCTGCATAATTCAAAGCTTACTGTGAGGATCAAAGAGATTATGTACATGAAAGTACTTTGAAAAATGCAAAATATGAAAATTACTGAAGAGAAACACCAAAGCAGTATGACAAACACCTTAAATTCAATGTTATGTTGCCCTATAACACATTCCATACACCGCATTTGGAGTGTTACATCTTGAGGACTGATTAACAGGTTCCTCTCTCCCCTTTAATCGCTATGGAAACATCTAGAGGCTCGTATAGTGTGTATTTGATTTTTGGCACAGTATTTTACAGGTGAAACGGCAAGTGTACAACGCCATCCATACAAGATGCCTCGGAGGCAAACAACCAAACCCAGTGTGGACCTTTCAGGATCCTGGTTCTAAGAAAATGACTCTGACAAAAGCATTTATAAAATCACCAGGGTCATTTGAACACTGATTTGCTATCAAATCATCCTAAGGAATTAATGTTGATTTTTTTCCCAGGTGTGGTAATAGCACTGTGGTTACAATTTTTAAAAAGAGTCCTTTTCTCTTAGTTATATATTCCAAAGTACCTTCTGATGATGTTTTATGGCATCTTGAGTATTCTTGGCAATAACAGTGGGGGGGGCTTATCAACGGATGAAACAAGATTAACCACATGTTGAAGCTGTGTGATGGCTACCTGAAGGCTCGTTGTACTGTTTTTGACCAAAAGGACACAATCCAGCTTAACAGCTCCTAGGTGGCATTGTGTATATCTATTAGGAGGCACATCACATCAGGTGGTCATTCTTGTTTATTTTAGTGGCTATTGACATTCACTGCTAAATCATTCTTTCCCTAGGTGTTTGCAAAATAGTGATATTCTCATTCTCTCTCTCCTCTTTCATTTATTAACTGGACTATTTTTGTAGAGAGGTTTTCCTCACAAACCATTTGGTTTCCCTGAAATACAGTTTGGACAGAAAAGGCAGGTCAAAGCTTCTATGACTTGCCTTTCTTTACCAGTTATCAGGACAATGAGTCTGGGTGCCCCCACCCAATACTGCCCACTGGCAATGCCACTCTCTGCTGCCATCTGCTGGATGTGACCCTGCACACACATCCCCCGGCTCAACCCCTACCTTCTCCTCACATAGCATCTCTCATGTTTTTCTCCCTGAAGGTCTATGTTTTGAATTATAGTGTATGCCAAACAAATTGCACTAAACATTGTTTAATTTTCCATTTTAATTGATGAAGACATATATAACCGCTAAGCAGAACTTCTGATCAGAAAAGAAAACCAATGTTAACAAGATCAATTGATATGATGCTCACTTAGATTTGTGATCGACTAGATAATTTTTGGTTCATCTTTTAAAGTGTTAAACTCTCACTAACCCTGCATTGCTACCCCGTTTCACAACCAGAGAAGGTCCTCTTGGGCTCAGAAGGCTTAAGCCCTGTTTTCTGCTGCAACCTCCTACATTGGCTCTGCACTGAGTGAAACCTCAGCAAATCCTCACTTAATAATTGGATTGATGGCTGCCAGTGGGGATGTTCTAGCTGTGCGGCCTCAAGAAGGGAAGTCTTAGAGATCCAGCTGTTAGCCACTCTAGGGACCAGGGCTTCAGTAGTCAGGATTCAATGAGGTTGGCATTCCAGTTTTTCAAACAGAAAGGATAGGCATTGGGGCATCTTCCAATTT